CTTCAACGTGCACAACCACGACCTGAAGGTTGAGGACCGCCAGAAGTTCAAGCGCGCATGGCAAGCCGCTGCTAATGAGGTTGCAGCGGACCCAGGCCCCAATCTTCTCTCCGTTCCCGGAGACCTCAACATAGCCGAACAACCTGCGCACAATCTACTTCGACCTGTTGACGCCAGCACGAATGAGCGCTACCAGTACCAGCCCACGCCTTGGAAGCAGATCTTCCGCGACACGATAGAGATCTGCACGCCTGCCACCACCTACAGGTGCGACGCGCACCACATCGAGTCGACCATCTATCGCTTCTGCGCGTCGCTCAAAGGAGCACGGCGGTGGATGACTCCCCATCCGAGCGGCGCGGCAAGAGGGTTAGCGATCACAATCGTATTCGCGTTCGACATCGCCCCCGCAATCAACGCCCGCACGCTGAACGGGGCATTCCCGCGTCCATCTCCAAGTCCAATTTCTACAAGCACTTCATCGACAATCTCTCCGCAAACACCGACTGCAACGCGCCCGCTGCCATTGCCAATTCAGGGCCCTCAAGACGAACACGACGCACGCTGCTGCCCTGGCTCGGGATGCTCTCCAACGCCCACTTCCCGAAATTCCGCGCGCCAACCACGGCGACGTCGCCGCGGAAGTCAACCCCGCGATCCCCCGCAGCGTCGTCAGAGCTGTTTGGTACCAGAATGGCAAGATGGCCCAGCTCCTGCTTGCGAACACGCACCTCGGTGCCGAGCACCTCCGCACTCAGCGCGCCAACGTCAACGGCATGCCCTCGGCCACCGTCAGTCTCGCCGACGCCGCCCGCCCCGCCGCGACCGCGGCCGAGACCCACGCCGCAGTCGCTGGCGAGCGACGCGGTCACGCTGCCACCCAGGCCCGAGAAGCGCACCGTCGACACCAACGGCAGCGAGGTGACACGCGGCGAGCACGAGCAGGCGCCACGCGCCGTCGAGGGGAGCTTTGGAAACCCTTCGTCCAGCGCCTGGTCCTTGCCGGCATCCGCATCTCCAAGGACTCCGACGACGCGGCCATCAAGACACCAGCCCACATGCACTCTGCGACCACGGCGCGCTGGGCCCCGATCTTCGAGGACAAGTCTGTCAACCGCATGAACATGGAGTCCTACCTTGACACGGTCTTCGTCTCCAAGCCAGAGATTGGCATCGCGCTACCCACCGCTGAGGATCTCCACGATGCGGCTAAACATGCACATGATCCGGCTCCTGACATGACGGACTACCCTACCAGGCATGGTCGTCTACGCCTGAAAGCTTCTAGATTCTGAGCGAGCTCACCGACCGCGTGAGCCAAGGATCCCCTGCTCCATTTGAATGGAACTTCTCGCTTCTTGCAACGCTTCCGAAAGGTGGCGAACCTGCTGGCAGTTATGAATGTTACCGCGCTCCTGAACAACTTCGACCCCTCGCCATGATAAGAAAAAAAAAAAAAAAAAAAAAAAAAAAAAAAAAAAAAAAAAAAAAAAAAAAAAAAAAAAAAAAACGTCAAGATAGTCGCATCGGATGCTAACAGGAAACATCACCCACTCGTTCAGCAAGTCTATGTTATTAGAATTTGCTCCTAGACGGCAACTTCTCAACAACATCGTCGAGGTCGACACCTACAGCCGCCTCTACAGCATGGACGACAACGCCGACGCGAACCTGCCGTGCTTCTTGAGCGTGGACATCACCGCGGCCTTCCCCAGCCTGCTTCATTACTGACTCTGGGTAGGTTTCGAGAGGGGGAGGCTTTCTGGCAACTTCCTCGTGCCCCTGCGCGCGTTCTACACCATGCCCATCGCCTTCCTCCAGCTCGGTGGCGTCCGTCGCCCTCTACTGAATGCTGAAAGTGGTGTCGCACAGGGCTGCCCGCTAAGCGGCACCATGTGGGCTCTCATATTCGACCCGATTTTGCGCGGGAGTCACAGCCACTTCACTCAAGCTGGTCGTGACATGGCCCACGCACGCACCGATGACATTGGACGTGCGTTAGCCCAGCGTCGTGACATCCTTGAATTCCTAGCTCATGTACAAGCTGCTGAACAATATGCAGGACTACGTTTTAAGTAAATTGTATAAGCACTGCTTTCTGTACCCTTGCTCACGCGCAAGAAGCTCAGAAGATTCAAGGCAAGTCTTGTTCAAGGCAGGGCCCTCGTCAACCTGGCAGGCCCAACTGTGTTTGTATTTTAAGTGAAGCGCTTCTTGCAGTGAAAAGGACGATTTGCACGGATGCATGAGGAGGGAAGCGGGACAGGAGGGTGCATTTCACCATTTAGTCTGCATCCTTGGTTTATTTCAGCCATCATCATCCTCATCCTACGCTTGATACTCGGCTTCCTCCTTCTCCGCATCGTCGTCCTCCGTCCTCGTCCGCCTCCTCCTCGAATGTTTCCTTTTCTCTTGTCCCTCCTCCTCCTCCTCCTCCTCCTCCTCCTCCTCCTCCTCCTCCTCCTCCGCCTCCTCTTCCTCCTCCTCCTCCTCCCGCTCC